TATGGCTGCTTGAAAGGCATTTCCATATTTACCACCCTGCATATCAACATTAACACCTCTATCCATTAGCAGTTCTACAATTTTGGCATGACCTCCATAAGCAGCAGCCTGAAGGGCAGTTCCATATTCACCACTTTGGTTGTTTGGGTCAGCTCCTGCATTTAGCAAAAGTTTTACAATAGCTTCATTCCCTATATATGCAGCTGCTTGAAGAGGAGTCCCATGTTGACCACCTTGGATGTTGACATCAACTCCCTTCTCAATCAAAAGATTTACAGTGCCCTTATTGCTCCAAAATATGGCTGCTTGAAGTGCATTGCCATGTTTCCCACCCTGTGCATTGATATCTACTCCTCTATCCACTAGAAGTTGAATAATAGCATTGTTGCCTTTATATGAGGCAGCTTGTAGAGCAGTCCCATATATTCCTCCTTGAGCATTGATATCTGCTTTCTTATCCAGTAAAAATTTGCAAACAACTTCATCCCCCAGATATGAAGCTTCTTGAAGAGGAGTTCCAAATTCACCACTTTGGGCATTGACATCAGCTCCTCTATCTAACAGAAGCTTCACAATTATTTCATGTTGGTAAGTAACAGCCAACTGAAGTATATTTCTAGATCCATCCAAGGCTTGAACATTAACATCTGCCCCTTTATCTAATAGAAGTTTTACAATTTTTTCATTGCCTTGGTATATAGCTGCCTTAAGTGGATTCTTATGGAAGTCTCCTAGAGTGTTGACATCTGCTCCTCTGTCTAGTAGTAGTTTCACAATAGCTCCATTGCCAACAAATATAGCTGCTTGAAGGGGATTTGCATATTCACCACCTTCAAGATTGACATCAGCTCCTTTGTCCAGCAAAATCTTCACCATGGTCTCATTTTCCAAAATTATGGCTGCTTGAAGATCATTTTTATATTTACAACCTGGGAGATTCACAATTGCCTTGTTGTCCAGCAGAAGTTCCAAAATAGTTTCATTCTTCATGAATACAGCTGTCTGTAAAGCATTTCCATATTCACCCACCCTAGCATTGATATCTGCTCCTTTACATAGAAAAAGTTTGACATATTTTTCATGATTATGATATACAGCTGCCAAGAGAGCACTTCCATACATTCCACCCCCTGCATTGACATTTGCTCCTTTTGATAACAGAAGATTTAAAACAGTATCATTTTTGGAAATTACAGCTGCCTGAAGAGCAGTTCCATATTTTCCTCCAATAGCATTGACATTTGCTCCTTTTTGCAATAGAAGGTTCACAACTGTATCATTTCTGAAAACCACAGCTGCCTGAAGAGCAGTTCCATATTCTCCTCCAACAGAATTAACATCAGCTCCTCTGTCAAGCAAGGCAATGCAAAGAGCTTTATCTCCCATGACTATGGTAGCCTGGATAGCACTTCCATATTCACCTCCTGGAATATTGATATTTGCTCCTCTCTGGAGTAGAAGATTTATAACAACTTGATTTCTAAGGACAATGGCTGCCTGAAGGGCATTTCCATACTGCCCCCCTTGTACATCAATATCTGCCCCATTGTCAAGCAGAAGCTTAACCACTGAACAGCTTTGACAATGTACAGCTGCCTGCAGAGGATTCCCATATTGACCACCTTGAAGATTGATATCTACTTTTCTATCCAGAAGAAGCTTGATCATAAGTTCATTTCCCTGGAATGAAGCAGCTTGGATAGCAGTACCATATATACCACCTTGAGCATTTACATTGGCTCCCCTATTTAGCAGTAAAGTTACAATAGCTTTGTTCTGACAAAACACTGCTGCTTGAAGTGGATTTCCATATTGACCTCCCTGAATATTGACATCTGCCCCCTTATCTAGAAGAAGTTTTACAATGGCTTCATTTTCCCAATATGATGCTGCTTGGATAGCAGTGCCATATCTGCCACCTTGTACATTAATGTTGGCTCCTCCATTCAGCAATAACTCAACAATAGCTTTATTCTGGCTATACATGGCTGCACAAAGAGATTGGCCACCTTGGACATTAATGTCTACTCCTCTGTTCAACAGGAGCTTTACAATGGACTCATTTCCTTTATATGAAGCAATCTGCAAAGCAGTTCCATATTCACCTCCATTGGCATTGATATCAGCCCCTCCATCTAGTAGAAGTTTAGCAATAGCTTCTTTTTGGCAGTATACAGCTGTCTGTAAAGGATTGCCGTATTGACCTCCTTCAACATTGACATTAGCTCCTTTATTGAGAAGGAGTTTTACAATTGCTTCAGTTCCCCAATATGAGGCTACTTGAAGAGCAGTGTCATAATGACTTCCTTGTGCATTGACATTTGCACCTTGGTCTAGAAGAAGTTCTACAACAGCTTCATTCTGTGTGTATACTGCTGCCAACAGAGCATTTCCATGATCACCACCTTGATCATTGATGTTAACTCCATTTTCTACTAATAATCTTACTATGGCATCTTCTCCAGAGACAATGGCTGCCTGAAGGGCATTTCCATGTTTATATCCCTTGGCATTGGCATTTGCTCCCCTTTGTAATAGATTTCTGACAATCTCTTGCATTCCAGTTAGGCATGCATAATATAGTGGCTCAGAGACATTGATCCAATTTGTTGTAGCTTGCCAATAACTGTCTGGGTTGTACAAACTTAGCCAGTTAATGTAGGGTCCATCTTCAACATTTAACAATTCCATGCTGAGATTAAGTGTCTCTTCATTTAAGGAATATAGGCAAGCTACATGCTTTGTCCAATACTGGGCAGCATATTCTGACAAGGGATAAAATTCTGTGTTGATTGGCACTTCTCTGCTTTGGCCACAATGAAGCAGATAAATCATACATGATTTTGCAATAAAATCATGTGCTAATTGCTCATTGACATAAAACATACAATATGGGTCTATACTATTTCCAATGAGATATTCTTTCACTGATGGGTGAGCCAAGTGAAGCTGCCTTTCAGGGAACTGTTGTGAATGAGAGTCTGTAATTATCACTAGGGTAGAACTGATAATTTTCCTTAATTGAGTCTCCAATTGTAAATTCCGGCTATCTGAGCAAAATTGCTGCTTTCTACAGTCAACTGTGAGGGCATCAACTGCTTCTTTGACAGTCAAAGGTTTGAATGAAAATAAAATCCATTTCAGGATAGAGGCAGCTTCATTTTGGTGATATTCATCAATGTCATCCAAGGCAGCTTGATATGTTTCTTCCAGAGTTTTTGGAAGATTTTTAAGAGCATCTTGAATTGCTTTCCTACTGCCAAGTTTCATGAGAACTGTAAGCTGACAATCAACCCAGCGTATTCTGAAGAGTGTCAGTAATTTATGTTGAAATGAAAATTGTGTTAACTTACTGTCCATGAGCATTACTCAACAAGTTAGACCTTATTTCCTCCTCCAAACTTGTGAATGTGTCCTCTTCAGATAATCTCCTGTTTATATGTTTTCTAATATCCTCCATCATCTCTACGCTGTCTAGGGCCATGTCCCAAGAAGTTGCCAAATTGCCATCAAGTGTAAAGCTTCTGGTTGCTGGATGTCGACTAGTTGCCAATATATAAACATTTCCTAGCCCAAGCAAATCTTGGATAAAATCTCCTACAGCTTTTTTATCCTGGCATTCATCCATACCATCTATAACAATGTATGTGGTTTGAGCTTTTGGGCATACTCTAAGAGTTTCTATAATAGCAAATTTCATGGTGTCTACAGAAACTTTGATATGTCCTATCTGATTCTGTTCATACAGCTCTCTTAAATAAGTGTGATTGTATCTAGGATGTGTTCCTATGCTTGCCAGGAGAGAAGTAATTAGTCCCTTGTACTTCACTTTGGACTTGCTGGCATCCAGGCAATCAAAATAAAAATAAAATATAAATTTTCCAGCATTCTGAAGGTCTTTAATGATATTTGTACTGGACAATTGTTAGTTTTTACAAATATCTGTAAAATTCAAGAGAATATTCACCAGAGATATGTTTTTCCAGAACCAGCTGATGGATGAGAAGTTCTTAGCTCCTATTTTTGATGCAAACTTAGTCTTACTAACCTTTACCATGCAACCAGAATAGATGGCCACTGTGCTTCCATTGTATGAAGTGTTCATTATTCATGAGCCAAATACCTGTGTCTTTTGTTATCTTGTTGCACGCCTCAGTATAATTGGTAGAAGGATCAGGAGGATCAATCCATGTCCATATGTCTTTGTGAATGCTTGCTTCTAGATTTCATTGATAATTTATAAGATTTTACTATGCCAATTATTGAGAAAGGCAATACCTGAATTGTGAAAGTGATAGTTATTCTGATTCCCACTGATAGCATTAATCGAAGAACGAATGACTGATATGTTGTCACTGTTGTTGAACAGTCTATTGATCAAACAAGCCTAGTAAGTCCGATATTGATGACATATTTCATTAGCAACACATACGACTGTCTGTCTTGTTCTTGTCCGACAGGTAAGTATCTAAAAATATCATTTTCGTCATTATCGGAATACATAGGAATAATACCCCACATACCGAGGACGTTTTTCGACCTGGGTTGGTGAATCAGAATCTAGTTTGCGCTTCCTTGTGCCCGGATTCTCTTGGCTAGCGACACTAATGCCGGTCATTAATTATAAAGGATTTATTTGTCAAAGAAAAGAGTAACGTTACCTCCAAGTGGAACCCATCTGTATGGTTCAGTTCCGAATCTTCCGATTGATGGTTGAAGTACAAATCAAGCAGTCAAGATGAAGAAAGATTTAGACAAAAGCGCGTGACTACAATTCGTCCTGTCAAAAGTTTGGGTTTGAGGACACGGCTAAACCCGTTACATGCCGAAGGAGCCGATCAAGTGAGCTGCTTGACATGTCTAGTTTTTACCTCTAAAACATCAATCGTGGAAAATGTATAGAAAAATTCCAGACTTGTTATCAGATCTTCAACGTCCGATTCCGGAAGTGAGAGAAGTGTGCCGCCCAAAATGCGGTCTGTTACGTTACTACTTATAAGGGGACAGGGCGGGACTCGAACCACGCTTCTCTTGCTTGAAACAATGTCTGCTACCAGTGCAGCGCATTTACCAGTTATGCTACCCGTCCTAACAGAAATGGCTTATTTCCTCACACGAGTGCTTCGCTTCATGGACCAACAGGAAATCTCGTTATCTATTCCTTATATATCAGGACACTCAGGAACGTTTACATGGTATTTGAACCAAGTACCTGAATAGAAAAGATTGAGTAGGTAGAGATGCTGGCTCTACTTCGGATTATTCTATCCAGCAACCCGGATGACACAATCAACCCCAGTATCAACCGGGTTGCTTATTTAGCAACCCCCAAACTTTCTGGCCGTCAGGCCGGCCTTGTGGTCGGCGACGCCGAGTGTCCACCAGATGGCATGGTGTCGCTCTTTCCCTCGCTCCTCCATAATTCATTCCTTCACTTTTTTTTTCTGTCCATAAGGTGTTAACTCATCACATGTTCCATCATTTTAAGAAAGAACAAGATTATTTCGAAAGATAGGGGTATTGTATTTGTCACACAATCGGTGACAAATTCCACACTTCCGCTGAACTGTTTCCTCCTCCCTAAAGTCTCTCTTAATCAACTCCAGTAATGCTTATAGTGGACCTTTTAAGATATTGACACACTCCTCAGTAACTGGCATGTAATACTATGTGTATGAGGAAATACTTCATACCCTTGATCTGCGAGCACTGGCACCAGGAAATACTGGTTGTTCAATAGTCCAAATATTATCCATAAGATTCAAGTATTTGCTTCACGAACAACAGTACATTTACAATGATACAGGAAGTTCCACCTTGGCAATCATATTGGTTTCTTTATCATAAATCATCCTCCTCCTTTACATTAAAAAGTCTTAACTTGAATTTCTGCCTTTTCTTTCATATAATGTTCAAGTTGTTGGGCAATGACCAAAGCAAATCTCGCACTGCAACCTTCTCATTTTCCACATGAGCTTGTTTTAAAAACTTTTGTCCTACTCGTTGAGTATCTAGTTTATAAGTATTTCCGGGTTGTTTACAGGAGAATACTCTTTAATATTGTGTCTCTACATAGCTCAATAAAAGATTGAGAGCCTTGGTTAAATATCAAAAGGAACATACATTTGAGCATACTATACATTTGAGACTTTGAGTAGACAAAATGTGTTCATTTTACCATGGAAAAAATCACTGAATTGCCAGAAGGAGTGAAAGTTAAAATTCAAATTTGAAAGTTACACTGCATCCATTGCAAAGTTGACTGTAGTAATGAAGTTAGGCACTGTTTTGGTAAATTTCAGTACTAAGATTTTGTCAACACACTAGATAATTATTTTAGCCCCGCTGCAACTTGAAGCTTCAATATCATCAAGAGTTGAACCCACTGAGTGAGTGCTAATAAACTTATCTCTGACTCCCGAAAATTGTATAGATTTCGGGTAGTATTTTTCATTGTCGATGCTGACACCTTTGTTCTGAAACCATAGAATTACTGTACTGAATTCACAATGAAAATAATCTATCAATCAGTTCTGATGTCAAGATCTGCCACAGTCTGCAAAACCCTCCAAGTTGGCTATAAAATAAGTGTCAATCGATGATTTATATATGTTAAGTGTGTGTTAGATTCATTGTACAAACTTGAAGAACTCGGAAAAAAGGTTTGTGTTCTCATATCAAGTTTATGACTGGCGTATGGACAAGTATTGTAGCTCAGTGAATGAGAACGATGCCACACTAGCAGAATTAAGGATAAAATAGCGGGGACAATGAAACGGACGTCACGGTGCGGAAGAGTGACACCATTTGGTGATGAACACCCGGCGTCGCCGACCACGAGGCCGGCCTGACGGCCAGAAAGTTTGGGGGTTGCTAAATAAGCAACCCGGTTGATGCTGGGGTTGATTGTGTCATCCGGGTTGCTGGATAGAATAATCCCTCTACTTCTCCTATCTACCATGTTGTACATATCGTAGCTGGGGAAGTTAGAGGCTTCTGATCCAAACAAAGACACCGATTGGTAATCAAGGTCTTGACAAACAAGACCACATCGGTGACCGAAACTCCTTTCAGTCGACCTCGTAATATCCTGAATCACGATGGCAGCCAAACATCCTCGTATTTGGAGCCTATGATCATCCGATAGGTTTAGATCATAATGTGTACCACTCTCCAGATGGTCAAAAACAATGGTAAGATTTTGAGGAGCCTCGGTACCCCATTCGGGGGTTGTAGTCATCGATAATTGAGCATCCACAGGAAGTAATGCCGCCATTGCATGTGGAGAAAAATACATAGAGAAATTTTCAACTAAACAAACTAATATTTTCGTCGACACATCGGATTACCACTGGCCAAAACTCTGTTCCGACATGTTTCTTATAATGATTCCGTAACGCCACTCGAGGCAATGTCTATCCTATAAATCAAAGATAGCACAGACAGAGATTACTCTGGTAGCCTGTGCATACACAGACATAGTTCCCGTTTTATCCGGGTTCGCAGAATCACTTCCACTTCCGTTCTCTTCGCTTTCATCAAGTCATGATGCTTGCTTGCATGCATTACGTGTCGTAAGTAAAACAACGGTTGAATTACTCGGCGCAGTTTTTCCGATCGTTGTCTGGACAGTCTGGTACAATCGCAGCGGCTTTCAAAGCAAGTATAGACCTCTATTGAAAAAATCGCTGAAGTTCAGGAACCTGATAGAACACTCAGAATTTGCCGTTAGACCTGTGCGCTTGTAGATGCTCAGGTGGAGATTTTCTTGCCCTAAACCCTTCTCAAATTTATTGAATACGTTACTAGCCACGGCCAGTAACTGCGGGGGGACTACCGTAAAGGTACTCAAGAGGTCAGTATGAGAATCCTTGATTAATATCACAACTCTGCTATTGATTCCAATAAATTTTGTTTCATAAGGGAAAACCCTTCACGGTTGAAGCACTACCCCGATGTTGGAAAATACCCCAAGAACATGTCCTGTTGTATTGACAACTACGGTCGAGTCACGTTCAGACTTCGGAACTGCGATACTAATAGTAACTGTGAACGAAGGCGATGATTACCAATGTTTTCGGGAATGTCACTTATGACTCACATCTAGCTTAGTTTTAGGCCTTTGGAATTGATTGATTACCTTCCTAGATCAGTTGAGGACTATAAAACGTTGGCAATGACTCGAACCATAAAATATTGAACTTTTCTTGTCACTCTCCTCATTTTTGAACGCAATGTCACTTCCTGCATCAATATCCCGACTTCCCTCCTACACACCATCTTCCCCTCCACCGTCTTATTTTCCTGATCCTACTAATGGGGAACAGAGAATTTACGCCTCCGGACGCATCAGGAGTCGTCCGACTGGTATTTACACTAAAAAGTCGAGTGGCATCACGGTCGCTTTAACCGAACAGGACTCAAGCAAACCTTTCTATGACCGCCAGGGAATCGTGAATGGTTTCATTCTGGCTGAAGACCGTAAAGCAATATCAGAAGTCCAGATCGAGGTACGTGAAGGTAACGTCACTGGATAGATAGAAATACTCACCGTTTGATCATTCGATTTATTTAGCTGATTGGGGAGATGGACTTGTCAGTCCCAGAGTATGGCGCGGGAAATGTGACTCTGTTTCAAAATGTTCATACACTGTGGAAGTTATCATCCGAGTCGGACCAACCGAGCTCTCGTTCAAACATATGTCCTAACACAATTCCTTTCGCCTGCATATTTCCTCTCACCTTTGTCTCGAACGCGAAAGATCCAACATCCGCACGAAACTCTCTCCCTCCTTCGCTGGATATAAGCTTTCTGGGAACCTTAAGCGCCTCCGTAAAGTACCTCCTCAAGGTTAGAGTTATCTACGAACGATATCCACCGTTTCACCTTTGGAATAGAGTCAAAACGTGAGTATCACTGAGCGAAATACAGAGCTCTGTTTTTTCCTGACTCGGTTCGAAACAGAACATCCCTTTCCCTGAATTACTATCCTCGGTCGCGACCTCCGTATCCCCTCAATCTGGGGCCTGACCTCTTTACCGACCTCAAAATCGCCCCTGAAGAGTGGCACCAGACAATTTCTGTCGTGAAATCAAATCGCGAAGACGTCGTATCTTCTGTCGATTGTCATGTAAGTTACTTCGGGCTAGTACCGCAAATGACTATTGACTTCCGCTCTCCTTCAAAAGCTGTTCGTGCCTTCATTAAGAATTTATGGTCTTGCGGATACGATCCCCGTCCATATAGGTTTAACAGGCTGTCCACGTTCCCTTCGGCATTTCTTGTATAGTCCGGATTCCGATGAACTCCGGGCTAAAAATTTATCGAACCCCGGCAGTCTGATGTCCGTCCAAATCATACGTCAAGTCTGTGTCAAGGTAGATGGTATCAAAGCTGTTAGAAGCACTGTCATAGGAGAGGGCAAGGTCCGAGAAGTGCCTCCTCATATTGATGAGTTTGTGCAACTAGAATACGACGAGGAAAGAGTGACGTTACATTGGGAAGGTGAAGTCCGGTGTTTCGAGACCACTACCCTTGGAGGTTTCAGTACTAGCCACCTTTCCTTGAAAGATTTCATCATTCTTCGAGTGAACCCGGTGTCAACGGATTCTGGTTTTTCTAGTCATCAAGTAGAGGTCAGTATTAAATTAGTCACAGACTCCGCTGGAATAGACTTTTAGACGTAATTTTCGCACTGAAGCAAGTGAGCCTGGCATGTAGTCGAGTCGCAGATTAGTCTGAGAAAGCTACTGCCTGCCGAAGCTCATCGATTAATAATTATCAGGAACGGGCTGGCGTACCGGATGCCCGAAATGACTCGACCCAACCATACTCGGGGGAGGATGTCACGATATACCCCAACGATCCTCCCACTTATTCCGTAGTACTAGAATGACAGTAGAGACTCCCAAGCTATGGACGCCTACACCACTCATATACTCTTCCCATCTCTCTCGTCGCATTCAAGACTTTTACGAGGTCAAGACAAATAGCAGCTGGAAGAACAAAAAAATATCAGTGTACCTCAAGCTAGAGTTACTTCATCCTCCACATTCCTTCAAACATCGCGGTATATCGCTTTTCGCCTA